TAAAATCCTAATCCCCACGCTGAGTGACGAGTGTTAATAACATCATCTGTACGTCCGTTCAAGGATACTTGAAGGTGTTGTTAACCTTAAGCCCTTTACAAAGGTCGCCTTGAGATTCTCCAGTACTTGAGATATCGGCTTCATAGGTGATATCATATTGGACTGACTGACTGAATGAGTTTGGTTTTACGCCGCTTTTAGCAATATTCCAGCAACATCACGGCGGGGACCACCAGAAATGGGCTTCACACATTGTACCCTTGTGGGGATTCGAACCCGGTCTTCGGCATGACGAGCCAACGCTTTAACCACTAGGCTACCCCACCGCCCCGATATCATATTGGAGTCGAAGTCATCAGCGTATATGCAGTAAGTCTCTGTTGGGTTGGAGTTAGTGAGTGAACGACAATCTCCGCAGGCCATCTGCTACCCGGTATAAGACCTCAGCATCTGTGTAGATGAAGGGATTCCTTTCATCAAGTAGGTTGTCGTCCGAAACTGAACCTATTACAGGTGTAAGGTTCGTGCAGGTTGTAGAGTTGTGCAGGCTGTAAACTGTAGAGATCGCACATGTTGCAGATCTTTTTGTTGAGTTATAAACTCTGACAAAACAATCCGTTTTCATCATTGCTTCATTTTATCCAGCCTTATGGTAATAGAGTCGACGTCAACATCCTGCCTGTTGATGTAAGGGTTCGTTAACCCTAGAGTTCGCGAACCCTGTAGATGTCTGCGTTGCTGTTATCTGCCTGTAGATCTAAGAGTTCTTGAACCTTGTAGATGTCTGCAGCTTTCTCAAAGCTGTGCGTAGGTTAGAAGGTATCTTGGATATAGGTTCAATCAGAGTAATAGTCACCGAGTCAAAGTCGACATTACGCATCTTATAAGTGTAGACTTCATCTCTGTGACATGAGCCTTCTCTTCGCAAACCTCTGTCGCTAGATGTATCCCTTTGCGAACCTTGAGTGACTTCGCGAACGTCTGTGAGAGATATGAGATCTCGATCTAGAGTGGCTAGATGTAGGAGATGGATCCTTCGATGTTCTCGAACGTTGAGGGTTCGCACATGTAGAACGGTGAGTAGGCATCTCATGTCTTCTATCCTCTTCCAAGATGACAGAGTCGTCAGACTGTGGAGACCTTCGCAAAGGTTTACGTTCGTTCGCCAACGTAGTCTTGAGACGTAGTTCTTTGAGGAGTAGGTTCGCGCAGGTCCGTGGGTTCGCGCAGGTCCGATAGGTTTGCGCACAGTGTCAGTAGATGAGAGGCTTCACAGCGCCTTCGCTTCTTCCTCGAACCTACGTTCCATCATGGCCATCATCTGGTTGGTGAATTGTCTCATAAATTCACCCGGATCAAAGTTCTGCGTTGATTGAAGCTGCTGCAGTGTAGATAAAGCATTCGTGAACGCTGATGAGTTGTGTGTCTCGACTTCACTCCGTTGAGAAGTTGGTGGTAGTTCGTCAAACAGCTGGCCTGCTGTGACAGTTGCAGGAGACGATATAGTAGTCGTGGAAGTTGACTAAGTCGCCGATCTCGTAGGTATTTTAGGTAGAAGTAACAGGGGATCATCAAAAACGTCTACTTCATGCGGTGGTAATATCTCTTCATTGAAGGATTTCTGATGCGTTGACTTACTAGGCCGCATAGATTTACCCTCCGATCTGGTAACAGATGCTTTCTTCTGCGAAAAACGCTCTACACCCATAGGAAGCACATTACAAATGAAGAATAATGACCATTATTATGGATTTACAACTTCTTTTATTCTGTGGAGGCGTGTTTTATTCTGTGTTTCGACATAGATTCTAAAATCGTTGTCTAGCAAGTGATCACTTGCTTGACAACGACATTAGAATCTATGTCGAAACGTCACCTCCACAGAATAAAAGAAGTTGTATATCCATAATAATTGTCATTCTTCATCAACTCAACTTCTAAAATGCCCATCAAAGAAGTCATATTACAAATATTAGATTGGATAAGGACTAAGCTAGTAAAGAGCTTAATTCAATGGTGTCTCTCTCCTTAATGTTGGTAAATCTGCAGGCATTGATTAATACTTAAATACTCATCACCTGATATCATGCTGTTTGTGAAGTGAGGTGAGGTGAGGTGGTGAGGTGAGGTGAGGTGAGGTGAGGTGAAATTGGGTTTAACGTCGTGCTTGAGAATATTTCACTCATATGACGACGTGCATGCATGTGTATGTGTATGTGCAGCTGCTTGTACTAGCCCAGACTGAAGCTTGTTTTATAGTGCTAGCCCACTGAGATACCATGCCGCAGTGAAGCATGAATACCCCACACAGACACATCATACTGACTCCCGAGCCGACCAGTCCTTGTTGATCGAACCCGCAACCTTCCGCTCTCCGGGCGGACGCTCTAACCACTACACCACGGAGGCGGTCTCATGCTGTTTGTTGATTAAAAGCTTAAATTAAGTATTTCATACAGGTCTTTTCCTTTTTATCTGGGTGCAACCTGTGAAGATCCGGGTAAGTAACCAATGCTTGTCGTACGAGGCGACTAACGGGATGGGGTGGTCAGGCTCACTGACTTGGTTGACACGTCATCAGTTCCCAATAGCGTAGGTCGATACTCTTGCTGTTGATCACTGGAATATCTCGTCCAGACATGATTATTTAGAGACCACTGCCATATAGCTGGAATATTGCTGAGTGCTCTGTAAAAACTAAACTCAGTCACTCACTTTTAGATGGGTGCAATCTGTTGAGAAAATCCTGCCAATTATAGGGGGTGTTTCTCTCAATGGTATTCCAAGTTCTACTCAACTCTTGATCACATATTAACCTTGTATGCAGTCATTGAGAGATATTTTTCCTTCAGCAAACAAAAGTTCTAAGCAGATTTCATAAAGACATTTGATTCAGTAGCGCTAAAATGTGGAAATGCTGGAGAATCAGGGGTTTGAAAGGGAAAATGCTATCAACGTATTCCAATGTAAAATGATGTGCATGTTGTGGTGATGTTCTGACATTTTTGATTGGCCTTTTTACATCACGGATGTGTTCTGTGGCCAAACTTCTTTATCATTTTTAATAAACGAGTTATATTTTGATGTTCAGAAATCTAGTAAACATGGCATTCAACTTTTTATGTTACTTTTTGCTGCTGATGTGATTCGGATGTCAAGTACTGTAATCGATCTTCAAAACAAACTTGATATACTTTCAGTGTATTTACATGACTGGCACAGTCATATTTCACTCACATATTTACCTATTAACCCGCAAAGCAGGCTCTTTTACTTCATACCTCAGCTTGCTGTTAGTCCATCAAATATCGGACATTACTTTATTCTCAAATACAGCTTACTTTACTTCTTGGATCTGAGATCTGGGCTTACAAAGAACTTTATACAATAGAAAGCATTAATTTTCTTGTCTGTAAAGTTTGTTAATGTTGGTATGCCAACACCAAGTGCTATGGTTTGTGGTGAGCAAGAGAGATTCCCACTGCACATCGTATCCCACCCTCGTTTGTTTGAAATATTGGTGTAAAATAATTAATATGTCTGAAAACACCTACAACATGCTTATACAGCTTGATAATCTTAGTCAGAACACTTGTGTATCATATACATGCACATGACTGTTCAGATATGCCATTGGCTCTATTTGTTGTGCGCAGACAGTTGATTATGTAAATATATTTATCCATTTGTATGTGTGCAATCAATATGTTTAACCAGGAATGGCATTCATGTATCTGTGAAAGTTCCACATGACTTCTTCATCAGTTTAAATGGTTTAACCAGAGTCTAACTTAGCCAACTTACGCTCAGAAATGTTTGTATGACCTTCGTACATTTTAGACTTGGTGTTAATGATCTAGTAATCAACAAAGAAATATTCTTTGTATTCTGTAACATTATTGAAGATGGATTTCATTTTATGTATATTTACACCATAAATGACCTAACAAACAATTCTTATCACAATAGAAAGCATTTGTTAATGTTAAAATACTCTCTTCCTTGCTGTGCTGCAAGGAAACTTCAAAACACCAAGTACCCATTTTCACTTATCATACATTTTCGATAAAAAATATGATACCCAAAATAGGACAAGCATTGTCACTAAGGTGGCATAATCCCCCACCGCAAATTATCAAATCAAACTTATAAAGTAATGAAAGTTTAAGATGAAGTTAAATGTCAACAAAAACATTATCTTGCTCTTTAGTTGTTCAAACACACACATATTTTCAAGACTGACTTTTACCTTGACATGAATGTCATTGTGTATGAAATATGCAAAACTAGTACTAAAGAAATTGCTTATTGAAAAACATTCAAGGGAGGTCTTGAAAGTCTATGAAGAAAATCCAGTGAACCGTTCTTAAAATATCTTGCAGACAATTCAGGTTAACATTCTGAAATCTTCATAGTGTCGTCGTGACCCTACAAATTATGTGAAGGTCACCAAAATTGACTGGGCCCTGGGCCTTCCCTAGATGAAGCTTGGTGTCAGATATGAAGAAAATCCACTGAAATTTTTTTGCGATATCTTGCTGACTATCTTAACAAGCAATTTAACATGCTGAAATCTTCAAAGTGTCTCTGTGACCTTGAAACTTAAGTGAAGGTCACCAAAATTGACTGGGCCCTGCGTCTTCCCTGGATAAAGCTTGGGGTTGAATCCAGGGAACGGTTCTTGAGATAGCTTAACATGCAGGTAAAACGTGAAAGTCCCCTTGTGACCTTGAAATGAAGGTCAAGGTCACCAAACCTTACTTGGACCTTTCTTATAGTGTGATGAACCCAGGTACCAAATATGAAAAGAATCTAGTGAACAGTTCTTAAGATATTCCAATTCGTACATACGTACGGACGGAGCCAAATACTATATCCCCCCGCTTCGCGCTAAACGTGCGGCGGGGGATAATAATATATGCTAATGTTACACCATTGAGTATGGCCTTTCAAGTAATAAACAAGTGAATAAAGAAAACAATGACAATACTACAACCTACCATGTGACAGCACCCAGAGAATGCACTGCCAGTTCAAACTCATCAGCTGCAGTCAGTCCAAGAGAGTCACCTGAAAATGATACACATGCTACTACAACAGGCCGATGGAACACAGCATTATGGGAATCAACATTTGTTGAGTTTTTAAACAGAGATACATCTGACTTTTCCACATTAAAACATGACTAACAAAAACATTCAGTTATTATGTCATCCTCATCATATTCTCGACACGGGTTGCGCTGCAAGCGTTATGACGTGCCAGCACTTACTTTCAGACATCATCTCTTTCAAGCCTCCAGGCCACTCGAACTCTTTGCCCTCCACTTTGAAGTAATCCTCCTCCGCTAGCGTCTTCAGAGTCTTGGAGCTGTCCCAGAATTCTGTCCCTGATGCTAGCGATTCCTTCAGGGCAGACGACAGGTTAGTTTTGATCAAATGCATTGTCTTGGCTGACATCTTCCCTCTCTCATACAGCACCTGAAAGTCAATGCCACTGTTAGACTGACTGACTGAGTTTAGTTTTACGCCGCTTTTAGCAATATTCCAGCAATATCACGGCGGGGGACACCAGAAGCCACTGTTAGACATATGAGTCATTCTCAAAAAATGCAGCATTTTCCCGTATCAGGATTAAAACCTCAATAAAACCGTCAAATTTTATCAGTGTGTTAAAAATCTGACTTTGGAAGTTTTGATCACAAACAAAAGGACCAAATAATATTTATTTTTGCCTTTTTTGTAACGAGGGACATGCATTTTGTCATGTATCCAGGTGCAAAAACCTAACATCATGTGTCTCCTGTGCACTAAATTTTATTTAAGAACATATTGTTTCTGGAGTGGTTGAAGAGTATAGACCTTTTTCCCATTCCTGGTAGACGTTCATGATTTTCAAGCTGAATTTTGATATAAAAAACAACCTTTTTCTCTTGTATACAAGAAAAATGTCTTTCCTGTAACAGTTCCCTAGAATTATGAAATATTTAATGATCCCTCATCATTTGCAAGTGGAACTACATGTTATGCTTATTAACAACTTCTGGTTGAGAGTGATGAACATGTGGTTGTGTTCAAGACAAAACTTTCAAAGAAAATCAAGTTTAAAAGTCAGCATTTGCGAGTATTTTTTATTGGTGTCTTTTAGATAACATCAGTTATTTAAAAACTACCCAGTTTCCCACAAGTATGTTTTTCTCTTTGCATTTGGAACCATAATTATAACATAAGAATGTTGTCTGAAATGGGAAAGGGACAAGTCATTATTTTTCTCTTAATTTACTCTTACAATTTGTCTTTCATATAACCAGTCTTTTCTGTAACAGCTCTTTTGTTATTGGAAAGACCTTCAGTGTTACTTCAAAGAAACATCAACATTGATTAGTCACATATTCTTTTAGCTTAATGTCAATGTCATTAACAGTTGACTTGTGGTAATGATCTAAGGTTTATATATGCTGAGGTTGAAACAGTTGACGGTTTTACACTTTCTTGTCTGAAGGCAATCATACTAATTTTTGTCAATGGTCGTTATTGGAAAGACAAATTCTGTAACTGCAAAGACAATTTAATACAAATTTGAAAATAAACATTATCTCTGGTAGGTCTTTGTTCATCTAGATTTGCTATGTGCTCATATTAGGACCTTTAAGATTATATTCTGAGTAACAATTCATATTTTCCCTAAAAATTTGTATGCTATATGGCTTTCAAAAATAGCTGTTACTTAAAGGTCACATGCAACCAAAAAATCAAACATAATTAAAACACAATTATCACTTCTTCATGACATATAATATGCATTGCTGATTATGAAAAAACAAATATGTAATTTTTAGAGTAAAATTGATATTTTATACTTATCCTGACTCATGCTCTTTTTGCTTGTCTTCTTCTTCTTGCTAACATAGTGGAACACTTGTATCTCCCTAATTGAAGCTCCCTTCAATGTAAAATCACTAATTAGTACTCAGCACGAGTTACCTCCCTTCCACAAGTGCGGGAACGAGGGCGCCACCTCCACCCATGTGCCTCACTCTCTCCTCATATACTGAGCCCAACATTTGAATTTACAGGGAAATCCAAAGTGTTATGTGGGGAGGATGGGAGGGGCTTACCTCATGAGTCAGGATAAGTATAAAATATCAATTTTACTCTAAAAATTACATATTTTTCCTTATCCTGACTCATGCTCTTTTGCTTGTAGCATCCACGGAAAGGGAGGTGGGAAATATATAATACTTTGGATTTTAATAATTAGTGATTTGAACTGTGATGATTGTAATAACCCTATGGGAACTTCATAAAGGTACTGAACTGATGAATTCCTGCTGCTAACTTATCAGCTGCCATATAAAGGTTATTACAATGTACTTATTATGATAAAGTATATATAACATTAATACAATGCTTAAGACTAATAGACTTAAGCTTGTTAATATGCTAGTATAAACTCCTTAGAGTTTGTTAGCTAAAATACTTTTAAGATATAAACATAGTACTAAGCTTAAGATATGATTAAACTTAAGCTAATTATATAATAGCAAAACTCTTTAGAGTTTGTTAGTTAATATACTTATATGATATAGATATAATGCTGAGCTTTAGATATGAATAAGCTTTAGCTACATATATAATAGCAAAACTCTGTAGAGTTTGTTAGCTAATATATTTTTACAATATGAGTATAGTACTGTGCTTAAGATATAATTAACTTAAGCTACATATATAATAGCCAAAACTCTGTAGAGTTTATTAGCTTATAGATTAATAATGTAACCATAGTACTAAGCTTAAGATAAGATTAGACTTAAGCTAAATGTATATAAAAAAAACTCCTTAGAGTTTATTAACTAATATACTTTTATGTTATAACCATAGTACTGAACTTAAGATATAATTAAACTTAAGCTATATATATAATAGCAAAACTCCGTGGAGTTTTGTTAGCTAATACATTTTATAATGTAACCATACTGCTTAAGATATGATGAAACTTAAGCTAATTGTATAATAGCAAAACCCTTTAGAGTTTGTTAGCTAAAATACTTATATGATATAAACCTAGTATTGAGTTTATGAAGGAAACCTTAAGTTACATATATAATAGCAAAACTCCAGAGAGTTTGTTAGCTAATATACTTATATGATATAAACATAGTATTGAGCTTTGAAGGAAACTTTAAGTTACATATATAATAGCAAAAACTCCGTAGAGTTTGTTAGCTAATATACTTATATGATATAAACATAGTATTGAGCTTAAGATTTGAAGGAAACTTAAGCTACATATATAATAGCAAAACTCCGTAGAGTTTGTTAGCTAATACAAGTTATAATGTAACCATAAAGCTTAAATTATGATGAAACTTAAGCCAAATATATAATAGCAAAAACTCTTTTAGAGTTTTGATAGCTAAAATACCTATATGATATAAACATAGTACTGCTTTAAGATATGAATAAGCTTAAGTTACATATAGCAAAACTCCTAGAGTTTGTTAGCTAATACATGTTATAATGTAACCATATTGCTTAAGATATGATGAGACTTAAGCCAATAGCAAAACTCTTTAGAGTTTGTTAGCTAATATACTTATATGATATAAACATAGTACTGAGCTTAAGATATGAATAAGCTTAAGCTACCTATATAATAGCCCAAACTCTGTAGAGTTTGTTAGCTTATATATTTTACAATCTGAGTATAGTACTATGCTTAAGATATAATTAAGTTAAGGTAAATATATAATAACCAACTCTGTAGAGTTGTTAACTTATATATTGTATGATGTAATAATCATAGTACTGTGATGATAAAAAGAACTTAAGCAAATTATATATAGCATGTAGCTATTTAGTACTGTTATAAGATAAGTAGAAATCTGTAAGATTGACTTATCTTCTCCGAGGAACTGTCAACTGTTGTGCGAGGACCATGGGATCGAATTGGTGGATACCTGAGACGCCCTCGGTGATGATATCTCTCAGATAATGGTTGGCAACCACCATATCGGATCTCCAGAAAATAAACCCTCCATTATTCCAAATAACATTGTGTAGATCAATGCAGAAGTTAGCTTCTAATATCATGAGTATTAAAAGCTCATGGAGGGTCGGATTGGGTCCATCCGCCTTGTATGCACGTAGTATGACAGTTCTGATCCAAACGGAGATATAGTAACGTGAGATTTCATTCTATGAAGTTGATGATAGAGGAAATAATCTGTTGTATTATTCCCTTCTGTTTGGTTCGGTGGAGATAAATTTACAGTGCTCTTGCTGGCCATCGTGATAGAATCATCGTATCATGAAGTCCAAGTATGTCATCCAGGCGTGTTCATAAACCTCACTTGTGAGGTGTTGGAGCACTATATTCAGATCCCCAAGTTGGAGGGTGAAACTTCCGTTTTAATTCTCCAATCAGAAAGTTTAAGCAGGTTTACTAACCATCTAGTTGTGTTAGTAGCTTGATTATGAAATTCAGCTGTAGTCTGAGACGCTGTGGATTTAGATCCACTTGTATCCCGTCGTCTAGGTTATTCGCCGCTAAGTCCTTGACGATGTAGGTGCACAACCAGGTGTGTCTGTCCTCGCTGAAGTTTATGTAAAATTGCCTGACTGCCGTGCTCCCTCGCCCTAACTTGACAGGGGAGGTCTCTAACCTGAAGAAAGCAGCCCAATCATGAAGGTTCAGATTAACTGGACTGTAAGGAGGCTTGCTCGCTCACTGATATATAGTTGTCACTTGTAACGTAAGTGTTGACCTGTGAACTAAGATCGACCTCTGCGTGAGGTCGTTGTCCAACGCGTCCAATCAGAACAAGGCATTTTGATTCTGTAGAATACCCGCTGTGATGTCACCGGTGTAGCAGGAAAAACCTTGTATAAAATCTTGCCGTCGTTGATATTAGCATAATCGTCGGTCTTCACCATAGCTTCCCGAAGTTACCCGAAAGTGACCACGTGTTTCGAGGGTTAAAGGTAAACGCTGAAACCTCCCGCCAAATACCTCGCTCTGTAATATTAATGCTGGGTAGGTTATTTTCCTGGCTGTCGGAAAGTAACTTCAGTTTTGAATATAATTCGACTTTCTTATATAAAGGTACAATAAACTTGCAAGTTGTCAGCTTGTAGACTGTATACATGAATGTATCGTCATAATTGTAGAATTAAAGCTGAACTTGTTGTACATATTTCTTCTCAGAAACTTTGACGATTATGAGTTATACTCACTGTAACAAGGCTGCTGTTCAATTTCGATATTGAATTGTCTGCAGATCTGCGTAATGGTCACGCATGTAGATAATCGTATCGTAGTCCGGGATTGCATATTCTAGCAATCTATACGGAAAGGTTGATTTCTGTGAAGATCTATGCAACGTCGTTGATTAATTAATATAGCGACGTTCTGTGTTGTAAATAGCCTGTGCAATTGTCTTCGTGTAGGCTTATAGACGGCATATGGCATACAGTTGATA